AGCTACAACACCACTGTCCGTTCCATCCCATCCCTTCTCACCAGACTGCTTTCCCTTGGCCGAATAATGAAACCTGATACAGGAAGACGGACAGGGACTGGACAGAGGGGAAGTGCACTTGGGGATAGATTCGCTGTGAAGTTGCATGCACCAAGGCGCTTCCCCTCTGCTGTGAAGTTGGTAAAACAATGTCACTCACCAACAGGGAGACGACTTTTGAGGCGCCTCAAAGAGCACTCACCAACAGGGAGGAAGGTCCATGCAGCTATGCGCTGCTCAATGCGCTTGATGACGTCATCCTGGTGTGTGCAGCCATGCACCCATACACCATCCATGCATCCATGCACCACCCATGCATCCATGCAGTCATTCAGGGGTTGATATGAAACGGGAGTAGGAGTAGAGGGAAGGGACGATGGGAATGAAGATTAAGAGAGAACAACGAGGCTCCAGGGCTCAGCACTTATACAGAAGAGCAGCTAATAGCTCAGTAACGTCATCCCAGCCCAGCCCAGTACAACCCAGCCCAGCCCTGTCCAACCGAGGTCAGTGTCAGCGCCCCCGCACCTGCTGGAAGTCTAGACACGTACCGAAGCTCATGACTCATGGATAGGAGCAGCAGCTAACGAGGACATGCCCACGCCCAACCCCTCCCTTCCACCCCCCTCCCCCACCCCCCTCCCCCTCCCCCTCGTCCTTCCCGCATCCTCCCCTCTCCCCCTCCTTCACCCACCTGCTGGTAGTCGAGGAAAGTGCCGAAGCTCGTGCGCACGTCATCCACGTTCGTGCCCTCGCCCTCCCGAGCCACCACCTCCGACCGCTCCAGGCGCGGCCGAGCCTGACGGTGAGGTTTGGGGACACACGAGAGGCACATGCTAGGTGGGAGGTGTGAAAATAGGGTGCGTGTGGTGGTGAGGGAAGGAGGGCAGGGGAGTAGGTGTCATAGGGGGGTACCATGGGAAAGGAAACGAGGCTGATGGTGGGGGAATCAGGGCTTGGGATGGAAACAGCAGTGAGCCGTTCTCACCAGGCGGTGATGTGACTACAGCGAGCCTCTCACCAGGGCGATGATGCGAGTATATAGAGAGCGTCTCACCAAGGCGATGATGTGGTCGCGCTCCTCTGGTCTCCGAAATGTGACTACAGCGAGCGTCTTACCAGGGCGATGAATGACTACAACGAATGTCTCTCAGTCTCTCTCACCAGGGAGATGATGTGGTCGCACTCCTCTGGCGTCAGAAACTTGTGATAGAGGAAAGCCCTGGTGGTAGTGGCACAGATGAACGGGTGGGGGACGAGGACGGTGGTGGTGGGAGGAAATTTATAGAATCGTAAAAAAGCCCTGGTGGTGGTGGCACAAGCGAATGATGGATGGGGAGAAGTGGGGGACGGGATTGAGGAGTTTTTTCGTGATGATCTAGACTCGCGTCTGCGTGATACTGTCTGGGAGCGCCTGACGGGAAGCATCTCTTTCCAAACCAGCATCAATTTTCCCCTGACAGACACAGATCTTGTCATGGCTCATGGCTTTTAACCGTTAGAAGGTCCACTGTCATTTGAACAGATACCTTGGCTTCCACGACAGCACGGTGACGCGCGGTTCTGTGAGGTTCCCGTCGCCCACTGCTGGATTGATATCCGCCACTCCGAACCTGATCGACGAGACACGACAATTTGTAACGGAGCATGACGGAGTAGGAGACGGAAATTAGTACACAACGGCTGGATATACGTGTGCCCCTAGATAAAAATGTCACCGAAACGCGCGCTAGAAACTCTATAGGATTATCCAGTACTACTGCTGCTCCTGTCAATGGACATAGCCGAATTTCAGCTGTGATCCGGACTAAAAGGCTAAATAACTCAAATTCTCACTTGTCCGCCTGCCATCCAGGGTACGCCTCAGACTCCGCCTGACATGAGGTAAGACTAGGCCATGCTGCGCAGATAACGGCGAGGAGCAGCCATAGCCGCGAGGCTTCCATCACGAAAATCGTATGAAGAGTGCACTCAAGAAGCTCGTGGGAAGGGTGGCTGGGAAAAGACACAATGGGAAACGGTCGTAGATGCTCGTAGTCTGGGAATGGGAAATGGTAAACCGGAGGAAAAAATGTCGGCTGAATGGAGTCAGCAGAAATTGGTGTGGAAATCCTGGGCCTTGTTCTGTAGGCGGACTGGCCTCCGCACAAAATGTCCGGGACAGTCTTTCCTAGAAAATTTGTGTCGCATCCAATCAAATTTGTCACCCTCGATGTTGCTACGAAGCCCCGCATATCCAATGCATTTCCGCAATCCAAAGCCCCGCATAACTTGTGCGCTGGCTGATGCTTGCCCTGGAGGTTGAATCAGCCCCGCACTAGTTGTGCGACCGTTTGCCAGGCGAAGCAATTTCTTCGAACCAGCACACGGTTAAATTTGTGCGGGTCAAAAGTGGTGTTCTGCAGGCAGAAGCGTCAAATTTGGCGCAAGTAGGTTTGGCATCTACGCGCTTATCACCAAACCTAGACAAGCAATGGATCAGTTATCAATCTTACTGTGCGAAACCAGATGCTGGAAATTGTCCGCCTACAGAACAAGGCCCTGGAGATACAGCTGATGAAAGGAGCTGTGGGGGGGTTATTCCGTGTTGATGCACTTTCATGTGGTTAAGTACGTTTCGTTTATATTTCAAAGCGTTTCCATAGGGTTCTGAAGGAATCTGGTGTCATGTCACGGCGCCCTCGATGAATCCAAGGGGGAGGAACCTGGCTTCGCGAACCATCCGGTCAGGTTTCGCCAGTTCCCAAGAATCTCTGGTGTAACGAGATTGGGCAATATGACCGCACCACCTGGGTCGAGCAAATGAGAAGCGAGGGAGTTTGTCGTCAAAATTACCGCGAAGAACCGCGAAAGTTACAGTTTTCTGTGGACCGTACTCGCCTAAACCTTGGAAACCCCCCTGCATCCATCAGCATCACCATTCTCAATGCCAGTTCCCTCCCACACCGAGGGTGACAGTGTACCGCGCTGCCATGTTGTAAAACACACTCAACCGAGTAGCATGCCCTCCAACCCTCAGCACTCATGCTCGGACTCCGTCTTACTTACCTGAATTCCCATCACACACTCTCGGTTTGAGGAAAACTCTAATGGCGGCCGTTTCTTGTTCCTAGACCCCAAGTCGCAATCAGCCCTGACTCAAGAACTTAGTACAAATTCATGCAGTCGCCGCGCGTCTCGTCTGTTCTTACGTTTCTAGCGGAGAAAGAGGTCTGTCGATCCTTCCACACGTATTCCCTTCTGGTTCAGCGCATACGTAATATTCCAAAATGCGGAAGAGGCATCCCGTTCTCGAATTTCTTCTTCCATCCTTCCTCGCGGCTGCTTCAGCGTTGGCGTTATCAACTGATGAAACGCAAAAAGGGTAAGCAGTTCATCATTACCGCCGGTTAGGGTTACAACATTGGTTCGGGTTTCTGGCCACCTCTTTTGACTTCGTGGTGATTCTCAGAGAGGATATCGCATTCGTGATGCCTTGTAGTACAATTTTTTCTCTTGGCCTCTGTCGGCCATTTCCTGACCATACCTGCTGACTTCGCGGCTTTCAAAAGATGCGACGAGATCTCTTGCACAAAGGAAAGTGAACACTTGTCTAGTGGCCTTAAAATCGTACTAGTAACACGTGTCACGTGTCCTTGCAACCCATCCGTGTAACGCGAGTTATCCCCTACAGCACCTTGTCAGCGCCGGGACTGAACATCCCGCCGGATTACATTCCGGACCCCTCTCGAATCAAGCAGCTCGCATGGAAGCCCAGGTGCGTCACAGAGGCATTTAACGGTGTAGACTATGTGGGGGATGTGGGGGATGTGGTGGATGCGGGTTTGGATGGGGGGATAAATGGGGATTATTGCGGGGATACATGTGGGAATGGTTGGTCCTGAGCATTTCTCGCCATTCCTCGAGACCCATTCCCTCCAGACCCCTCCCTCCTCTCAACAACCTGTCTTACTTCGAACCACAAATCGTGAAAGGTTTTCCGTCTCATCGCACTTCCTCTAACGTCTCTTCCCTCAACCCCCTATCCATTCCTCCACACTTCCCATCCGTCTCCCTATACCGCTGCTCTCTCTCCCCACTCTCTCCCTCCGTCAACCCCCTCCTCTGACCCTCCTTCAACCCCCTCCTCTGACCCTCCTTCATCGCATTCATTATTCCCTCCGCAGGGCTTTCCTTTATCCCAATTTCCTCTCTGCTGCGGAGTGTGATTACATCGTCAACATGGTATGCTATCACATCACCCTCCCACCACTTCCTCTTGGCCCACCTTACTTTCTTTCCCCCCCGCTCTCGTTCTGTGATCACTATATCGTCAACATGCTATGCGATCACCATTGCCTACACCACTTCCTCTTGGCCCGCCTTTCCTTCTTTCCCCCCCACTCTCGTTCTGTGATTACATCGTTCTTTTCACCCCGGGCCACTGCACTGATTCCTTTCCATCTTCCCTTCCTCTCCTTCACCGTCTGACCCCCACCTTTTTCTCCCCATCTGGACTTCGTTGAATCGCTCCGTGCTTGTAGCTGCTCCTGCCGTTTTCTTTCAACTCTCCAGTCCCACTATTTCCCTAGATCCATTTTTTGCTTTGTGTAGGCGCCCATTGGAAACCGTGAAACACCGCCCTTAACCCCTTCGTGATGTCCGTCTGTGGATGCATGGTTTCATCGCCTATCGTTTCTGAGTTCTAACACTTTGAACTCCCGGTTGTCAATCGGCGCATGGTGGTAGTGAAGTGAGGGATTACATGAACCAGTCTCGCCACCTGCTGCTTCTCTGCCCCCCTCCCGTTGTCTCTGTCCCTCCTTTCCCCTCACTTTATGCCCCCTTTCCCCTCACATTCTGTCCCCTGTCCCCTCCCCTTGCCCCCTTGTCTCTCCCTGTGCAGTCGCGCCCACTAATGGAGCGGTCGACAGTGGTGGGGCAGGGAGGGAAGAGCGTGGTCGACACCATTCGAACCAGCAATGGCTGATCTATTGCGACCCCTGTCCCCCCTTTTTTCGCCCCCTCTCCCCTCCGTTTGGCCACCCTGTCCCGTCCCTTTGGCCCCCCTGTCCCCTCCCCTTGCCCCCTTGTGTCTCTCTCGGCAGTCGCGCCCACTAATGGAGCGGTCGACAGTGGTGGGGCAGGGAGGGAAGAGCGTGGTTGACACCATCCGTACAAGCAACGGGTGCTTCATTGATAAGTACAAGGTGATAAGTAATGGGATAAGCTCTATAACGGGATAGTATATTGGTTCATCTGTGGATGTCATGTTGATAGTACAAGCTGAGATCACGTAACGTGTGCGTCCTTGATCATTATAATCTGCTCTGTTTCGATGTCCAATGAGAGAGGCTCTTTGAGAATTCTAAAAAAATCAGATTCACCCTGGGCCCTGGGGTTGATTATTTCCGGCCTTGGTGCGTATGGATTGCTCACCGTCCCTCCCATCCATCCGCCTCTCCTCTTCATCCGTGCCTGGCCTGTCTCCCCTTGTCACCCCAGGACCCAGTCATCAAGCACATAGAGGAGCGCATTGGCGACTGGACCTTCCTGTGTCACTTTCGAGAGCATTCTCAACAGAAGCGACTCAAGCATACCGTCTGTGCATGGCCTGTCTCTCTCCCTGTCACCCCCAGGACCCGGTCATCAGGCGCATAGAGGAGCGCATTGGCGACTGGACCTTCCTGCCCCTCGGTACGTTCCCTCCCTCCATGCCCCTGGCTCTTGGGCGTGGCACGGGCATGAGCATGAGCATGGCCGCGGGAATGGGGATGGGATTGGAATGGGCATGGGCATGGGGATGGGAATGGGCATGGGGATGGGAATGGGCATGGGGATGGGGATGGGCATGGGGATGGGAATGGGCATGGGGATGGGAATGGGCATGGGCATGGGGATGGGAATGGGCATGGGGATGGGAATGGGCATTGGGATGGGAATGGGCATGGGGATGGGGATGGGTATGGGGATGGGAATGGGCATGGGGATGGGAATGGGCATGGGGATGGGAATGGGCATGGGGTTGGGAATGGGCATGGGGATGGGAATGGGCATGGGCGTCGGGACGGGAATGGGCATGGGGATGGGAATGGGCATGGGGATGGGCATGGGGATGGGAATGGGCATGGGCATGGGGACGGGAATGGGCATATGGAGACGAATTCAACCATGAGTTTCATGTCTGTCAAGTCAACCGTATGCCAGCAGAGCACAGCAACCTTCTGGTGTCAGCGTCTGAACGGTGACGAGAGGTTCAAGAGTGCATGCACCCCAGACCCTAAACCCCCTGGGGTACCACTCCTGAAGCACCATCACTAGCCACGCCACCAATAGCCCCACCCACTCTCCACGGGCACAGGTCTGGTCTGCACGTGCCGCCTTATGTGTCCTCAGACCCAGACTCAGAAGTCGAGAGGCGGCTCAATAAGGCACCTCCTCTCCACGAGCACACGCCTGGCAAGTGCTGCAGTCCCAGCATGAGCATGAGTGTGTGGATGTGTTGCGTCTCCTTCAACCTCATCCCTCCTCACTCCCTCATGTCCCGCTTTCTCACACCCATCCTTCTCACTCCCCTTTTCCTCGCACCCGTCTATCTCATTCCCTTTCTCTGACACCCCACATTGCCAGCCAACCAGGAGGCGATTCAGGTGCTGCAGTACCAGTACGAGCAGAAGTACGGAGCACACTGGGAGTGACAAGACCGCACAGCCAGGCGGTCCTTCGTCGACCTTGACCCTCCTGTCCTCTTTCTCACTCCCGGCTCTCATCCCCTTCTGCCCTCGCACCCCTTTTCTTGCACCCGCATTGCCAGCCAACCAACGATGCAGGTGCTGCAGTATCAGTATGGGCAGAAGTACGGAGTCCACTGGGACTACTATGATGACATACCAAGCAGTTCCTTCAACGTTCCCCCTCTTTCTCACCCCCCTTCCCATGCGGCCAGCCAACCAGGAGGCGATGCAGGTGCTGCAGTATCAGTACGGGCAGAAGTACGGCGCGCATTGGGACTACTATGATGACAAGACCGCACAGCCGGGCGGCCCCCGATACGCCACTGTGCTCATGTACCTCACTGACGTGGTCAAAGGAGGGGAGACCGTGTTCCCCCAGTCTGAGGTGAGGTTCTGTTACAGGGCTATGCTGTACGCAGGTACCCCGATATGCCACTGTGCTCATGTACCTCACTGACGTGGTCAAAGGAGGGGAGACCGTGTTCCCCCAGTCTGAGGTGAGCAATGTACCTCTCGTGCATGATACCCCAGCCACTGTGCTCATGCACCTCACAGACGTGGTCAAAGGAGGGGAAACTGTGTTCCCACAGTCTGAGGTGAGCCGTTTACCTCCTCTTGCATGATACGCCACTGTGCTCATGCATCTTGCTGACGTGGTCAAAGGGGGGGAGACTGTGTTTCCGCAGTCTGAGGTGAGTGATGCACACAGTTCAGTGCACACAGCGTGTGAATTGGAATGGAATGTGCTGCTAAGTCAGTTTGCAGTAAGCAGCACACACTGTATGTTTAATCGGACCGAATCTAACCTTTCCCGAATCCACCTTTCTTCCTCTACTCTCCTCCCCCACTTTCCATCTCCCCTCCCTTTTTCCCTCCCTCTCTCCCAATTCCTCCTCCTCACTCCCCCCTTCCCCCGATCTTGTCCGCATCAGGAGGACCCCACTGTGAAGGACGACAGCTGGAGTGACTGCGGCAAGCAGGGAATCGCAGGTATACAGAGCGGTGCTGGTGGTTTGCAGAGCTCTGTCACGTGGTGTGCAGAGTGTTGTTGGTGGTGGTGTGGTGTGCAGAGCGGTGCTGGTGTATGTGGTGTGATGGCATGCACTGCAGGTAGACATGAGCAACGAGCGAACACCAAACGTGTTCGCCCGAATGTCCCCGAACAGTTTAATTGGGCGAACCGAACATGTTCGGTTCGCCCGAACATTATTTTCACATTTTGCGTGTTTGGTGTTTGGTTAGTGTGGGCGAACATGTTTACTTTTCGCCGAACATCTACATGTTCGGCCAATTCCAAACATGTTTGGTGTTCGAAAATAAGGACTTAGCAGATTCTGTGACTTAACAAAATTCACCACCCCTGTTTCATGCAATTAAGTACAACAACACGGTTTTAGGGGGTGGGGAACACGGGGGAACACGGTTTTCTGCTTTTTCAGGTCTGTAGTCGTTTACAGATCTTCCTGTTAAGAATGTAAGTTACTTTTAACAACGACTAAGTAACGACTAATTAACCTCAGTTACCATAAGTAACCGTTAAGTTGGGTGGAAATGGGCTGGAAATGAGCCTACTACTCCTTACTATGCTGTGTACTTAACCTAAAAAGGTAGATCAAGGTCGAAATGACCTCGATCTATGCTTTCTGTAGGACTTACATCCAACCAGCGCGACAAATGTCGCGCTGGTTTTTTTCGAACATATAATGTTTGGAAATGCGGGGAAACTTCCCAAACATGTTTGGTGTTCGGGAATTTTCCCTTAGAACTTTTCGAACACCGAACATGTTCGAGGCAAACCCCGAACATGTTCGGGCGAACCTTTTTTGCAAAAAAAGCGGGTTGAACATGTTCGAAACGAACGTGTTTGAGGTTTGGAAAAGTGCTCATGTCTAACTCCAGGGATGGTACCATGACATGGCATGTCATGGCATTATGGTGGCAAGGAAGGGACGGGCAAGGAAGAAGGGTAGAGCATTCTCATCTCATGGCATGGCATGAAGGCTAGGGGAAGGCATGTCCATCTGTTCACGAGCTGGTTTTTTAGTTGAAAATCCTCTTACACCCCAACCCAAATCCCCCTGTGCATGTCAAACGGCTGATGCATCTCCCCTTGCAAAACGTTAATGATCCCTGACCCAACAAATTCCTGAGCCACTTACGGATTTCCACGCAGCGTGCCTTCCAAGTTCCAACCTACATGCAAACATTGCAGGACCATACGCAAGTGCACTTGATTCACTGGATTCCTTTGCACCCGATGCCCCTGCCCATCGCCACTCCAGCGAAACTGGCCAGACAGCAGTTCCCTTGGCCAAGGGCACTGCCCTCCTCTTCTTCAGCATGAAGCCTGACGGCTCATGAGATACAACCGTCAGGCTTCATGAAGCCTCGCTGCACTCCGGCTGCCCTGTGATGGCGTGGCGGGGGAGAAAGTGGTCCGCCACCAAGTGGACCCATGCCTATTCCCTCCCTCCCTCCCTCCCTCCCTCCCTCCCACCCGCCCGCCCGTCCGATTACAGTGAAGCCAGCCAAGGGCAGTGCACTGCTCTTCTTCAGCATGAACCCCAACGGCTCCTTTGACACGGCCTCGCTGCACTCGGGCTGCCCTGTGATTACGGGGGAGAAGTGGTCCGCCACCAAGTGGATCCACGTTGACTCCTTTGACCCGCCCTTCCGTGACCCGGACGTGTGCCAGGTGGGTAGAGTGTGTCGTGATGAGCATGCATGGTGCTGTTGCTGAGTAGTGCAAAGGTAGGTACTGTGTGTGTTGAGCATGCATGCTGTTGCTGTTTGTGAGTATGTGCATCTTTCATGTGTCTTCTTCTCACGTGTCTTCTCCTTTCACCCGCCCTTTGGTGACCCGCACGTGTGTGTGTCAGGACGATGATGTGAACTGTGGGGACTGGGCGCGGGCGGGGGAGTGTGAGAAGAACCCCAAGTTCATGAAGGGCACAGGGAAGACGCAGTATGAGCTGGGCTTCTGCCGCAAGAGCTGTAGGGTTTGCTGAGGAGTGGAGTGCGGTGAGGAGGAGCAGAGTGCGGTGAGGAGGAGCGGAGTGTGGCGACTAGGCACCATGTGGGCGAGTGTGAGAAGAACCCCAAGTTCATGAAGGGCACGGGGAAGACGCAGTATGAGCTGGGCTTCTGTCGGAAGAGCTGTGGGGTCTGCTGAGGAGTGGAGTGCGGTGAGGCGGAGTGGAGTGCGGTGAGGAGTGGGGTGTGCTGAGAAGGAGTGGGGTGCTTAAGCGAGGTGGGTTTTGTTTTTTGGTGATAAACCCCGACTGGTAGGAAGTATGGTGGTGGGTTGTGTTGAACTGGGGTGGCGGCTTGTGTTGTGCTTGATTGATGCTTCTGTGGGCTGCTGTGGGGTTTGACATGACTTGTCTTGGTCTTGCCTTTGCAGGTTCAGGTTAGGTCTGAAAGACGATACTTAATGATTATTACTTGTTTATATGGTATTTACAAGTGTAGTGACAGATCTAAGGTAATCTGTCTAGCTACAGTATCTACACCCAGAACCATCGCTACAGTATCTGCACCACAGCCGCCACATGCGCCGTTGCCTAACCCTTCACTTGCAGCAGGATTAGACTCTGTATGCTCTGATTGCTCTGTCAGTGCCGTATCAGACCCCTCCCCCTCTCTTTCCTCCTCCCAGGCTGCCTGCTTCCATTCCTTCCCCCTTTGCCCTCGTCCTTCCCTTCCCTTTTCCAATTTTCCTTCTGTCTTTTCCCTCAGAATTCCTTGCCCTCCCTCCCCTGAACCTCCTTCCCTCTGGTCTTCTCTCCGGTCCGCCCGTTCCATTTGCTTTGGTTCTTGCCGAGCCTTGGATATTCTCCGAACCTCCAGCCCCTCCGCCCTATCCCCCCACGCACTGCTGATGCCAGCTCGAGCAGCGATTGCTTCGGCAGCAGCATCAGTTTGGAAACTAGCAGCAGCATTTGCAGCAGCAGTCAGAGCAGCAGAGGGAGCAGTAGCAGCAGGAGCAATAGCAGTAGGAGTCTCAGAAGGAGCAGGAGCAGCAGGAGCAGCAACCTCTGTCGCAGCAGGCAGAGCAGCAGCAGGAGGAGATGGTGGTAGTGTGCGGTTGGGGGAGGGGGGAGGAGCAGCAGGCAGATTATCCAACATCTCCTGAATCTGCTGCTCCAGAGTCAACTGGCCTTCGTTTCTGCAACCACCTCTGCCAGCATCAGAGCCACTGCCACCGCCACCGCCGTCACCATCACCACCACCACAACCGCCAACACAACCATCACTACTGCTTCGGCTGCCGTCGTTGCTGGCAGTACCACCAGCAGCACCGCTGCTGCCAGCGCATTCAACACGCAAAGCAAAGCTTTTGCTCCATCCACCACCACCACCACCGCCGGCTGAAGCCACAGCACCGCCGACTGAAGCCGCAGCACCGGCACCACCACAGAAAGCCGCATTGCCGTCACTTCCACTCCCGTCTCTTCTGACCAATCCCCTCCCTGCCGCTGCGAATCGTGCTCTCCTCTCCTCCAATCCCTGTAGCAGCAGATGATTTCTTAGTCCAATCAGACTGCTCCCACTCCCGTCTCCTCCATCGAAACCCCTCTCTCCTCTCTCTCCGCTCTCTCCGCTCTCCCCGCTCTCTCCTCTCTCTCCTCTCTCTCCTCTCTCTCCTCTCTCTCCTCTCTCTCCTCTCTCTCCTCTCTCTCCTCTCTCTCCGCTCTCTCCTCTATCTCCTCTCTCTCCTAACCCCAGCAGCCCTTCAGCAGCAGCAGCGCCCCGATGCTCTTCATCCACCTCCATATTCTTCTTCTCCGACTGCCGGCTCCCTCCTCCCTCCTTGGGCTTTCCTCCCCAAGGGATATCAGCATGGGCAACGGTATTAGCAGCAAAATCAGCAGCGCTGAAAGCTGCAGCAGCAGCAGCAGCAGCAGGAGCAGGAGCATCAGCGACAGCAGTGGAAGCAGGAGCAGCACCAGGAGGAGCAGGAGCAGCAGGAGCAGCAACGGCACCAGCAGCAGCAGCAGGGTGTGGAGGGATGGTACTCTGGGGTAGCTGAGCAGTGCGAGAAGCTGTCTGCACAGCATGAGAAGCCTCCTGCTGAGCATCAGCACGTCTCATCCCCACCGCCTCCATCCATGCCTCCAGACTCCTCGATGACGGCAGAGACTGGCTCATACAACCACTGCTGCTCCTCATCCTCCTCCTCTGCACCTCCCCCTCCTCCTCCTCCTTCCTCGAACAATCGCTACTCCTCCGCGTATCCCCCCTCCTCTCCTCCATCTCCCGTATAAATCCTCTCAGCTTCATCTCCTGGAGCTCTGCACTTCTCGCCGCCTCTCTCCGTCCTCCCTCCCTCACTCCACCACCACCACCACCACTACCATCATCACCACCACCACCACCACCGCCACCACCACCACCACCACCGCCACCATCACCACCGCCACCGCCACCACCACCACCGCCACCGCCACCACCACCACCGCCACCGCCACCACCACCACCGCCACCACCACCACCGCAACGAGTACTGCTCCATCCTCCTGCTCCACTTCGTGCGTCCTCCATCCCATGCCACGTGGCAGCTGCAGATTGGGTACCAGACGTACGGCCAGCCGATTTGTCGTCCACGCTTGTGCGCGTCCTCACTGGCTTCGCATCACGAAGCATCCAGGAAGGTGCCTCCAGCGGCCACGTAGGCATCTCCAGCATTTGCTGACGTGGACGTGGAAACGGGCGTGAATTGAGCTGATTGGCTGGAGGCTGGAAAGGTGTCACCTTGAAAGAATCAGCAGAGTTGCCGACACATGGTGGAGCGGAACGGAATGGGTGGACGCCAGCTGCGGTAGCAAGGTTGGGAACTACGGATTTTTTTGTTGGCTCAGAATTGGGTGTTGTTTTGATGGGGTTGGCAGGGGTGTGGGCGAATGGTGGTGTGGAAAGGAAGGGGCGGGCAGCAGCATAGGCAGAGAGTGCCTGTCGCTGCAGCAGCCATAGTCGCATCCACGGAGGTGCCGTTGCTGCTGCTGTTGCTGCTGCTGATGCAGTTGCTGGCGGTGCTGTTACTGCTGCTGCCGTTGTTGTTGCTGCTGTTGCTGCTGCAACTGAAGCTCTTTCTGATGCTGCTGCTGCTGCCATTCCCTCCACCCTTTTGTCACATTGCTGGAGAGGAGGCATGAGGCTTTCAGGGGGGTCCAGGCTGCTGCCAGAAGAACGAAAAGTGAGGTGGTGGGCTGATTGCGAGGGCAGCTGGAAGGGATGAGAGGGAGTCAAGGGACTGTCCTGCCACGTGGCATGCTGCAGCAGCCTTGACTGATACGTGCACGTGGCGCTGGGTGCCATGCCGCGCGCCTTTTCTGCTCCGCCCCACGATCCCCTCCATGCTGAGCTGGCAGATGGATGACATGCGTCAGCAGGTGTTCTGAACACGTCAGCAGGTGCTCTGTATGCGTCAGCAGGTGACTGTAACGAGGGGGGAGAGGGTGATGCGTCCAATGTTGCTGGCAGTTGGGATGGGAAGAGGCGTGAAAGCAAGCGAAGCTGGTTCTCTGCTGCATTGTATGGTTCACCCAGCAATAGCGGCCCTGCAGCACGAACAGCAGTAGTAGCAGTGGCGGTGGAACGAGCACCAGCAGTAGTAGCAGCAGCACTGGTAGCAGCACAAGCAGCAGCTGCAGAAGTGCTCTCGTTTTGAGGGTGCTGCTGCACTCGCTGGCGCACAGTGCCCCATTTCGAGCTTATAACGAATGCCGCTCCTCCAGCCGAACCAACAGCAGCAGCTGTGGCAGCGGCAGCCTCAGCAGCAGCAGCAGCAGCAGTAGTAGTATGGGTGCGTGCGGCGGTAGCAGCAGCGGCATCATCGGCAGGGGCTGAGGAAGCGTCTCTTACACGTTTACTACTACTGCCAGGCGTGCAAGAGTCCTCTTGAAGATTCACATAGTAGTAGTCTGGAAAAGAAACGCTTCTCGTGGCATTATTAGTTGTAGTTCGGCCTTCGCTGCCTGGTAATTGTAGCAGCATTCCTCCGCCACCTCCTGGCGGAAACCACCGGCTAGGGGCGCGCGGATTGGAGCTTCTTCCGCTTCCGCCGCTCCCCCCCTTACCGCCGCCCCTGCTGCCCCCGGCGGAGCTGTTCCCCCCGTTGTGCGCGGATTTGTGTCCGCCCAGCGCCTGCAGCGAGTGGAAGCGTGCTCCGCACACGAGGCACGTGAACTGCGGCAGTTGCAGCCCCGCCATTAAGACGAGAATTGGTCGAAGTCTTCGTGTGCTAAGCCTCAGCCGACGAGAATAGCGTCTCAGACTGGTGCAAGTATCGTGTGTAGAGCCTCGGGTGTGTGGAGATTTCAGCAGGATTGAGGGGCTATAGGACACTCTTACTCGCATTCTGAGCGGAACATCATGAGTATTACTCCGTGACAGCTCAGAATTCGCGACAGCGTGACACTGTCAGCAGCATGGGCAAGCGGCTCGTACGACAGAGAGTGGTAAGTGGTAGACAAGGCAGTACCGCAGTAGTAGTAATGGTAGAGAGCGAATTTCGTCAGAGCTGTTGCTTGGGTGATTCTGTAAGCAAATTCAGGAGAGAGAGGAGACAGAGCGGCTCTTGAAGAAAGAATCTGACAGCTTGGGGAGCAAGAGGCTGGGAAACGGAGTCGTTCTCCTTATGAGTCGACTCAACAGCAGACTCATGGACGAATTCCGCCGTGTTTCTTTGCAAAACTCTGCATAGGCGACACGGAGAACCTACTACGAAGGTGCTAGAGGGTTCCACCTGAGGCCGCTATGCCACCAGCAAGCCTAAAAAACCAGGGGTCGAAAGAAGCAGCCTGCTGTTTGGGGTTGGGACTAGCTTTGGGAGCGGACGACGGCATTCTCTTAGGACCGGACGACGATGTGATGTGTAATGCTGCTCCCCCGACCCGAAGCATGCTTTTGGGAAGAGTTTGCAGGTTTGCGAGTCACTACGTGGCGACTCGAAGGGGAACGAGTTGCGTTGTGGTCAACCCATCAGCGGCAGTTTGGCTGCTGGGAGAAACAGAAGCTTTGCCGTACGAATCGACCCCTGAAAAGCGGCTTTTTCTAGCAAAACGCGTCACGATTTCTTGGCGTCGGTGAAGGCTGGGTGGAAAGCATTAATTGTTTCGCACCAATGTCAGGGAGGGTCTGGCTTGACGCTTGGCAGACGGGCAGACTTTGCCGTGCTGCGCTGTACAGAAGAGTCGGCTGCCTGCCATTCACGCTCAACGAGGTTCACTCAACCGCCCGAAAGTGACTTCCTATTGGATCCTGGTGCGTGCTTGTGGGCATGTGTATTATTGACCTATGACATCGTGCTGTGCAAACTAGCCTTTCTATTCGGAACTGCCAGCTTCAGTGGACCGCATTTTGCGTGCCTGGGTAGACTTGCACAGCTGCTTTCTGGCGGTTCCGTGTTGTAAGGACTAGCTCTCTCTACTCAGCAAAACTCAACAACAGGCGTTGACAGGTGGACCTTGTCAGGTGGCTGATTTGAACGATGACGAGTAGGATGACGGAGGGAGTACGTAGCAGTGATGGCCGCTGGGAGTAGCAGTGATGGCCGCTGGGAGAAGCAGTGATGGCCTCAAAACAGTCAACCTTTGCGCTCGAGCGAATTTCGGTGAACCGCCATCTCGGTAAATCACCATTTCGATTGCGAATTTCGGTAAATCACCATTTCGATTTACTTAGCCAACAGAAAAGGGAGTCTGTCCTTGCACCGTCAATTCCTGGGGTGGTGGTTTACAATCGACGGTTGGTTATGCAATCGTGAATTCCAAAACATTGTCGCCTGTATAAGGTTCCATCCCTTCTGTTCCCGTGAAACTGTAGTACTGTTACAACTTACTTGTGGGTACACTTGGATCGGATCTGAGACAAGGGTGGAGAAGAAAACCGAAAACTTGCACAGTTGCAAGCCACGCTTGGGAGATTGGGAGGAGGGACGATAGCAGGCTCGCCACGAAACATTCGTGATACTTACACTTTGAAAATATTGTAAGGTGCACTTACACGAATGTCCCCATTTTCATGGTGCTGGCATGGGGAAGAGGTAAAACCACCACGGTAAGGACTAGGGACTACGGATCTCGAGATAAATTTGAATAGCGATCTCTGTCGCAAACATTTGACGGGCCAGATCAGAATCTGCGACTGACCAAGATGAAGTCACAAGTCACCAACTCCCGTGATGGAGGAACTGCCGCCAGGTCATTGGATCCGTGATGCTGACGCTAATCGGCATCTTTGCTCGTGCGCAATTATAATCTGGCGCTTGGTCATGGGAGACGGAGTTATGTTATTCGTTAGCAGTTGCCCCTTCGTGACAGCGAAATGTTGCTCACGTGACACCACAGTTGTGCTGTAACGCAGGTTCCAGAAACTCGGGAGAGTTGTGGTCAACAACAAAGCTCGACCGTCACCTTGACTCGATGCTGCCGTCACCCAGGCAACATCAATTTCTGCGAATCATAACCTCCGGCTTGATACTCGCTATGGTTAGCCCTCGTTTCTATCCATCGCTGAGAAAAAAAGTATGTGTAAACTGAACTGTGTGGCAACACTATATACAAGACAAGACAGACACATTCTCCTTGCATGTGCTACGCATTCACCTATCCTTCGCCGTCTTCGAGCCACTCTATCAAATCGCCACCATAAGGGTCAGCGACCATTGACCAATCGATATCACTCACAATCATGCCATTCGCATCATTCCCACATAAAATGGTAGTCAGCATGCTAGCAGCGGCATGCTCCGGCAAGATGAGGAGCCCGCAGGAGCTTACGTGAAAATCAGGGTGGGAGGCAATGCCATATAGGGGATGAGACGGATGAGAGGACGAGGGAGGAAGATTACGTGGAAGTGCAACTTGCAAATGGGTTGGATATGGAGGTACGGTATAACTAGGGCGCAGAAGAGGTGTATGAAGCGTCGAATGTGCACTCATTGGGATGTCATTTAGGGTGGAAGAGGAAATAGGATGCTGATTGTCAAGGGTCAATGGCAAGCCCTCCGATGCCCGTGTCTCTACCCCGGCTGTCTGAATCTCGCATTGTTTGCCTGGTGCTTGGAAATCACTCGACAAGGGTGCCTCAAGAGTTTGGGTGGGGTTTATTAGTGGGTGCTGGGAGTATAAGGGTTGTGCTACTGGGACGTCAAGAACATGAGGTCCCTCTGCTTGCATAGCCCGATGATGGTGTTGATGCTGGTGCTGGTATTGCTGCTGCTGCTGCTGCTGCTGCTGCTGCTGCTGCTGCTGCTGCTGCTGCTGCTGATATTGGTGCTGATGCCATTGCTGATATTGTTGTTGATATAGCTCCTGTTGTTGCTGATGCAGTTGCTGTTGCTGCTGTTGCTGTTGCTTCTGTTGCTGTTGCTGCTGTTGCTGTTGCTGCTGTCGTTGATGTAGTTGCTGCTGCTGGTGTTGTCGCTCTTGTTCCTGTAGCTGTTGTTGTTCTTGCTGCTGATGCCACTGGTGGTGGTGCTGCTGCTGCTGCTGCTGCTGATGGTGGCGATGGTGCTGCTCCTCCTGTGGTACTGACGCCTGATGTTGTGTGTTTTGCTGCGCATGAAGCTGTGCCAGATGTGCAACCTGATAGTGCGGCACCTGATTTTGCACCTGATTTTGCACCTGATGTGGCACCTGCTGTTGCTGCACCTGTTGATGCTGCACCTGTTGATGCTGCACCTGCTGCAGCTGCACCTGTTGTTGCTGCACCTGCTGCAGCTGCACCTGTTGTTGCTGCACCTGCTGCTGCTGCACCTGTTGCTGATGCACCTGTTGCTGTCCCCGCTGCTGCTGCTGCTGCTGCTGTTGCTGTTGCTGTTGCTGCTGTTGCACCTGATCACGCTCTTGCGTTTGTCCCAGCGCCCTTCTCTCTCCATCACTGACCGTTCTTATCCAGGCCTGACCCCCATCCAGTGCAGTCCACGGCCTTCCATTCCCACCACTTCCCACCTGCTCCCACCCCACTCCATCCCACTGCCATGACCCCTGAATTCTCTCCTCCTCCCGCCTTCTCCCCTCCCTCATTCTCTCATTTCCCCCTTCCTCCTCTCTCTTTTCCTCTTCCCTCCTCGCCCCCTCCCTCATTTCCTCCCCTCTCCTCCCCTCCTGCATACTTCGTGCATCATCAATGTTCATAGCCCCCACTCCCTCTCTCCCACCACTCTCATTACCACTCCACATCCCCTCCCCCCCACCACCACTCCACAACCCAGGCCGCCCCCCCCTCTCGCCCCTCCTCCGCTGCTCCAGACCCGACCCTGCCCCCTCCAACAACAGCCGCGGCTCCTCAGTCGCCCTTTCCCGTCTCTCTTCCATCCCCCTCTGCTCCAGCCCCACCCCTGGCCGATGCAACGACTCCCACCCCCTCTGCTCCAACCCCACCCGTGGCCCATGCAACGTCTGTTGGGCCGCCTGAACAGCCCGCACCCGCCTCTCCTCCCTCCTGCGCTGCTCCAGAAGCGACCCTGTCCCTTCCCAGGCCAGTATAGCCGCCGCTACCTGCTGTGAGCTCGCGCCAACCAAGGACTCGTATACTCCTGGGCTTGTCACTTGTGGGGAAGCAGCAGCAGCGGAATTAGCAGCAGCGGCAGCAGCAGCGGAATTAGCAGCAGCGGCAGCAGCAGCGGTAGCAGCACCGGCAGCAGCAGCGGCAGTAGGAGTAGCAGGAGAAGCAGTAGGAGCAGCAAGAGCAGGAGAACCAGCAGGAGCAGCAGGAGAAGCAGAAGGAGCAGCAGCAGCGAAATTGGCAGCAGCGGCAGAAGGAGGAGCAGGAGAAGCAGGAAGAGCAGCAGCAGCAGGAGAAACAGGAGCAGGGGGAGCAAGAGAAGCAGGAGGAGCAGCAGGAGAAGCAGGAGCAGGGGGAGCAAGAGAAGCAGGAGGAGAAGTAGGAGAAGCAGCAGCAGCTACCTGCTGGGAACTCACATCTGCCACGGTAGCATGAGAAACAGAGGTAGCAGCATGGGAAGTGGAAGCAGTGGCATGAGAGACTGACATGCTGGCGTGGGAAACAGAAGTCCAGGGTGTAGCTTCAGCAAAGCAAATGAACGTCTGCTGCTGATGCTGATGCTGCCGCTGTTGCAGATGCTGCTGCTGCTGCTGCTGCTGCTGCTGCTGCTGCTGCTGCTGCTGCTGCTGCTGCTGCTGCTGCTGCTGCTGCTGCTGATGCTGCTGATGCTGCCGCTGCTGCTGCTGTTGCAGATGCTGCTGCTGCTGTTGCTGCTGATGCTGTTGCTGCATTTCCCACCACCTTTCAGTCTCCAGGAAACGAGGTTCCAAGCCCGCCGACTGCTGTTGCTGCTGCTGATACCGCTGCTGTTGCAACTGATACTGCTTCTGCTGGGGATGCTGCTGCTGCTGCTGCTGCTGAAACAAGGGGTAGAGATCCGAAAATGACCGCATGGCCCCATCAAACCCACCTGGAGGAACCTTCCGCTTCCTCTCTACATCCCCTCTCCCCCCTGAATCTCCTTCTCTCCCTTTTTCCCCCACCCCCATTCCACCACCGTCCAGCACCTCACTGCACCCCCCACCATCCACGCCGCCAGCAGCAGCAGCATCACTGGCAGCATCACCACCGTCCTCCACCGCACTCAACCGCCCAGCAACAGCAGCTGGAGCAGAGAACGCGGGACCAGCAGCACCAGCAGCAGACGCCGCAGGAGCATCCAGACGGTGTGCCTCTTCCCCTCTGTCCCACACCTGGTCGACAAGGCGTGCCACTCCCCCCTTGTCCCTCACCGGATTCAGAGAGTGTGCCTCTCTGCCCTTGTCCCATCCCTGGTCTAACTCAAATAGCATCGCTAGCTGCTGCTCTAACGCCCCGCCAACCCCGCTCTGCGCCGCCCCTTCCCCTTCCGTTTCCCCTTTCCCTTTCCCTTCCCTTTCCCCTTGGTCCTGCCCCGCCCTCCCTTCTGCCCTCTCCCCTGCCCTTTCCGCTGATTTCTCCCCTGATTGCTCCCCTTTCCTCGCTCTTACCTCTTTAGCCTCTCCGACCCCTCTACTCTCCTCTCCTTTGCGCATAATTTTCTCTGGCAAAGCTACAGCTGCTGCTGCTGCACCTGCTGCTGCTTCTGCTGCTCCTGCTACAGATGCTGCTGCTTCTGTAGCAGCAGCCGTCGCGGCTGTGGCTGACACAACCGGAACAGCTGTAGCGAAAGTAGCTTCACCTGACGATGCTACAGCCGGCGATGCTGACGTTGCAGGAACCGTACCAGGGGATTCAGGAAGAGAAGTATTTGCTTGTTCCCTGATTCTTGTACCCTCAGCTGTAGCAGCAGCCGTCGCGGGCTGTAGCTGCGTCGCACTCCCCCCAACCTCTAGCTGTTTAGCTGTACCTGTGGCGGCAGCTGTAGCAGCAGCTGTAGCAGCATCTGTCTGGAGCTGTATCTGTGTAGCTATAGCTTCAGCTGTGGCGGCAGCTGTGTCTGTAGCTTTGGCTTGAGACTTGTGTTTCTCCAGAAACCTCCTGCTCGTGGGACACGTGGCATGGAATGAGAGCATGGGACACGTGGCATGAGGCACATGGCAAAATAGACAGACCACACAGCTGGGCAGGAAAAACAGAAGCAAAAAAAAAAAAAAAAAAAAAAAAAAAAAAAAAAAAAAAAAAAAAACAAAGAAAGGAACACCGCGCGCAGACGAAAGGAAGAAAGGAAGGAAGAAACAAATAAGGAAGTGCAAAAGGGCGGGGTGGGGGGCGGTTAAGTGCGGTACGACTCACTTCTTGAGGAGGATGAAGCGGTTGCAGCACGCCTTGTTGTCGCGCAGAGGCAGCGAGCGGCTTCGCTGCAACAGCCCCCAGTTGCGCGTTCCGTAGCGCGTGACGTGGCGCAGCAACACACGGTCCTCCTGGGGGAGGGGAATGGAGAGGGAGGGGAAAGGAGGGATGGGGAAGAGGGAGATGGGAATGGGGAGGGGGAACACTGTGAAGGCAGCAGCCCCCAATTGCGTATGCCGTAGCGCGTGACGTGGCGCAGCAATACCCTGTCCTCCTGTCAGGGGAGATAAGGGAAGAGCAAGGGAGGGGTAAGGGAAGGGTGAGGGGAAGGTAAGGGGTAAGGGAAGGGTAAGGGAAGTGGAGAAAGGGGCGGCGAAAAGAAGGTGGGAGGGAGGGAGAAAAGGAGGCAAGGAGCGAGGGAAGGAGGGAACGAGGGAGGGAGATTCAGGAGTACATTTCTATTTACAAGGGTGGAGAAGGGGTTGGAGAGGTGAGAAGGTGGAGCGAGTATGCAGGAGCGGGAATGTAGTTTTGAGACGTCTCAAAACCAGGCCTAGTTTTGAAACGTCTCAAAAGGAGGAGCGGGAATGTAGTTTTGAAACGTCCCAAAAGGAGGAGCGGGAATGTAGTTTTGAAACGTCTCAAAAGGAGGAGCGGGAATGGGGGACAACTTTCTGAGATGTCCCAAAAGTCGGGAATGAGGGACACCAGGGAATATGAGACAGCCGATGCGCGCGGGGGAAACACGAACTTGGCCGGCAAAAACGAGTCTGGCCGGCAAAAACGAGTCTGGCCGGCAAAAACGAGACTGGCCGGCATTAACGAGTCTGGCCGGCAAAAACGAGTCTGGCCGGCAAAAACGAGACTGGCCGGCATTAACGAGTCTGGTCGGCAAAATCGGTCAAGGAGGCTGTGAAGCAGCTGTGCCTGAAGCCACTGCCTGGCGGCCTTGCTGGTAACGAGGCGGCGTTACTAAGCCGGAACGAACGCCGGCCGCTCACCTCGTTGGTCCATCGGAGGAACTGCTCCGGGGGAACGTCGCCGTGTCTGCCGCTGCTGCTAAAACTACCACCGGCGCCGCCGCCGCCGCCGCCGACACCGGAATACCATGGCGGCGATCCCAGCAGCGCGCTAGGAGACGTGTGAGTCAACTCGGGTCTCCCGTGTGACGCAAACGGCAACACTGTTGATCCGAGCACACTCCGGGCCGGCGCCGCGTTGAACCGAGTCGGGTCCCCCGAGAGGGCCCCTGCGCCAGCGCTTCCGCTTAGTAGCAGGCCTCCGCCAAAGCCTCCGCCAAAGCCTCCGCCTGAGCCTCCGCCAAAGCATCCCCCTGAGCCTTCCCCTGAGACTCCGCCATAGCCTCCCCCTGTGCTTCTGCCATGATAGCATCCCCCTGTTACTCCGCCTGAGCCTCCGCCAAAGTCTGATACTCCGGCTGAGCCCCCGTTTGCGCCCCTCACCCATGCTGCGACCGTCGAAACGCTGTTACTCGTTCCGCTGCGCGTCAGCATGCCAGGTTCCGCCTGAGGCTCGCCGCTCCAAGCGGCGCGAGTCCCGCTGACCGTAGTGGTAGCAGCAGTGGGACTCCGACTGTTATTAGCAGTAAATTCTCCAGGAGGTAAATATAGGAGGTCCCTCGGACCCATGTGGAAACCTCCGCTCCAGGAATCCGGCGGCGCATGATACCCGCTTCCGTAATTGGTGACGGTGGTATTCACATTCTTGCTGCTCCTATGTGGCCTAATTGGTTGGCCGCGCTTCATGTCGAACAACGGCGGCGATGAGAATTGGTGCTCGTAATAATATTACGCCTAATACTACTATTAATAATGCCGGTTTCCATGTGGCTTTCTTGTGCTATTGACCGCGTAACCTCGAACATTACGACTCGATTCGGGTCTCCCCCCTCCTGCTCACGTCTTTTCCCATAGAGCGAGCACCTGGGGAAAGACTTTGCAACTCACTTGCAAGGAACTCCGTTTGGAAAAATACTCTAATCTCTTGTTGGTGAGGAAGATAATAAAGACGGAGAAAAGAACGACACGTGAGTTCTAAAAAACGAGAAGTAATTAGAGATCCTGGGCCGATGCAATGGCTTTCAACATCGGCGAGCGAGTGGTTCCGGAGATCTCCCACTGAAGTTCGTCTCGTGCAGGAATCTTCTTCAGTGTCAACGGAGGAGCTCTTTGCCCGTCGCATGAGCTACGCGTTTCAAAGGATGCCGCACCTGGCTTATCAGACCGAGGGGTAAGGAAGACGGGATAGGAAGCCGGGAAAGGTGCATGGTTTGAGCAGCAAGGGTTTTATAATCATGCTGCCACTCTGTTTGTGCATGTCTATGATGTTTGGAGATTCGGAAAGATAGGGGAGATAAGGATGGGGGCGAGGAGCGGACCCCCCTGGACTCAATTTTGAGAGCAAGTTGGGAGATGAAGATTGCGACATTGCGCTTCGGGATGAATAATGCGATGCGCTCGTAGAATAAAGGCACTTCTTCCACCTCAATATCTGCGTGGCAAAATGGATGTGGTTTAGACGACGGGAAGATTCATGAACTTGTCCACCTTGGCCGGTCAAATGGCGAAGGTCCTAAAACATAATAATGGCGACACCATTGGGGCCAATCTTGTATGGTTCTTACCCCTGAATTTCCGCTGCTCAACACTTTTGGACGCTGTTGTCGAGGAAACGGGCTGCCCGGACTGCCAACTTGACAGCACAGCGCAAATTCTGTAGTCTGCACAAAGCCGGGAAACTGAGACCAGGTTCAGACTCGAATCCTGGTTGACCCATCTTCACCAAAGTTGTATTGTCGGCAGCTGATGTGGCAGTAGGTGTTCAAAATGCCCTAGCTACTCGAGATACTTGTACAGCGCGGTACACTGTGGATGTATTCTTATTTTACATGGAATATACTGAATATGAGTTTCAGCATATTTCACCCACCCAGATACATGGAATTGTAGCCTAGAATATGAAAGCCACCAGTTGGTGGCAAAATAGAGCAGATCAACCTGAAGACATCATCTCCAGCAAAAAGTCTGGGCGCAACGCCGGGACCTCACCGTCTTCTCTTGGACCCTCGCAACCATCAATCAGCTCTCCCATGTCTGCTCCCAAACGCCCCATCATGCATGCAGCGTGACCAACAGCACCAACTTTAACAGGCCAGCCCAATGGCATACCGGCACCAGCTTCGGCATCCAGAAGAGTCAGGTCCGGCCACGACAGGCACGAGGTGAGGCTGTTCAGACACGCCAAAAGCTCCGAATCCGGCACAAGCACCGAACCAACAGGGTATACACCAGCAGCAGCAGCAGCAGCAGTGTCCGCAACATTTTTTCTATCGGCAATCGACGAGTGTGCTTCGTGACACTCTTCAACGACTCCTGCCCTCTCTGCAGGCCAGTCGGCGCAGTTCCGACCGGCAAAAGCAGCGTCACGAGCAGGGAGATCGCACCCGGCATTGGCGGAAACACCCGGCACGTCGGCAAACAGGGCGGCAGGAGGAGCTGGAGAGGCGGCTGAGGGGATTACGGCAGGAGAAGCAGGCAATGCAGGCGAGGAGGGAACGGTGTTGCTTCCATGGTTCATTGAATTCCGATGCTGCTGGTGCTGCTGCTGGTGCTGCTGTTGTTGCTGCTGCTGCTGCTGCTGCTGCTGCTGCTGTTCGTGCGGCGGCAGCGGCGGTGAGGGTGTCTCATCCGACATCTCAGTGCCATCGCTGCTGCACCTGGTGATCATCTCCTCCCGCGCCTCCTCCTTGCACGTCCCCATCATCCTCGCTCGCTTCCATGCACGCCCATCCATGCCCCACATCCCCCGCACGTCCACACCAGAAGAACCAGTTCTCGCGGCGGCAGCAGAAGCGGCAGCAGCAGAAGCGGCAGCAGCAGAAGCGGCGGCGTAGGCGGACGCGGTTGTGAGATCGGCGCGGTTGGTCGCGGGGGTGGAGATGGTCGGAGCGGCGACTGCTCGCGCTGCAGCAGCTGCGGAGGAATCAGCGGCGCTGCTGCTCGCGCGGCAGCCGCTGGGGCGCGGCTGAACCCCGCGGAGAGTTGGAGTACGGGGCGGAGCAGCACCGGGGGGAGAAGCAGCGGGCGGGAGAGTAGGAGTACCGGGGGGAGCGGCACCGGGCGGAGAAGCACTGGGGGGAGCAACACGGGGACTATCCGCGCCTGGCTGAACAGGCGCCGCCACTGCGTGGGGAGCCCGCGGAGTCCGCGGAGCTGCGCAGGGGGACAGGGCGACGGCGGAGCGTAGCGTCTGCTGCGCGCGCGGAAACGCAGAAGCGGCGAATGCGGCGTGATGGGGCGCGAGGGACGCGCGTGGCGGGTTCGCGGAGAGACTCGTCGAATTGTCCGAGCAGGCGGCGGCGGCGGAAGCTGCGGCGGCATAAGCAGCGGCGGCGGCGTCGGCGGCGACGTCGGCGGCGGTGAAACCCCAATCGCCGGTCAGTTCGACGACGAGACGCGGCGACGACTTCCGGGGCGGCATCATGTCGAGAGGCAGCGAGCGATGCGGCGACGGCGCGGACGCGGGGACGGGCGCGGGGACGGGCGCGGGGAAGGACTTACCCGGGAACGACCCGCCACCAGGGACGGACGAGGGATGCTGCTGAAAGTGATGCTGATGCTGCGGGTGATGATGCGGCGCGGAGAAAGGAAGTGGCGGCGCGGTGAAGGAGAAACCCTCCATGGAGTTGAGGGAGTTGAGGGAGTTGAGGGAGGTTGAGTGCGGCGAGTTGGTTGAGGAGCCCAGTAGCCCCCCGGCCGAATCGTTCTGAATGGAGTGCTGGTAACTCCTAAGCGAGTGCTGGTTACCACTCCGAAGAGATTGGTAACTTGGAACAGAATGCAGCGCCGTAGCCGCCGCCGTGGCGCTCCAATGGTGCGGCTCGCCAACCGGCGGCGGGAGCGCCAGTGGCGGCAACGAAAGCGCGCCGCCATGAGATGACGAGCTGACGGGATCGGGACCCATAGGGAACACACCGCCGGCCGCTGAGGGTGAAGCGTCTTGCTCGATAAACTTTCTGCGAAAAGGAGCGGAGGCGACGGCGGGGTGGAAGAGTCGATGAGTGAAGAATCCACAACCCACAGGAAATTCGACACAAACATTTGTAGCTTTTCCTTGACTCTCTTGAATTGAATAATGCAGGTAGAAAGTTGAAGCTGCAAGCTTTACGCGGTCCGAGACGCACTTTTTGAGGAGGATGAAGCGGTTGCAGCACGCCTTGTTGTCGCGCAGAGGGAGGCGGTTGCTGCGCTGCAGCAGCCCCCATTGACTGGTGCCGTGCAGCATCACGTGCTCCAATAGAATCGCGTCCTCCTGCGCGCCGAGCCGAGACGGGATACGACGGGATAAGAGGAGACAAGACGGATACGATGAGACAAGATGAGACGGATGAGATAATACTGTGAGGTCAGATGGAATGTAGCGCTATACGGATTAGAATGCATGGCTTTGGGCAAATGCAGGTGCGGTGCTCGAGCAATGTGATCGGAAATCTCAAAGGAAGCTTACCTCGGGCGTCCATCGCGCGATGTAGTGTCTGCCAGGCCGCGTTTTGACCCTCGTCTTCATCGAGCACGCTTCGCTGCAAATCGCATCCATTCTGTAACAACGCTAGCGAAAATCGCCGAAGGAGGTTGAAATAGGTTTTCGTCTTGCGCGAATGTACCCGTGTCTCGGAGAAGCTCTTGAATGGCTTCGAGGCTCTCTATCTTGAAAGGTCTGGACGAAATTTCTGAAGACAAAGCTCGAGAGAGGATGGTCAGCTGAGGAGCTTGCAGTTGGGACTTGCGTTTCACAAGAGTGAGCTTGACAATACGCCAACGAAGTCTTATCAACGTTCCTCAACGTGGGAAGGAAAGGTGGTGGCTAGCAGCGTCACAGTGACTAGACTCTGGTCTATGCGGAAACCAGAAAGGTATCGTAAGGCGTGAGAAAGCGGGTCCTGTCGTGGGTGGTCTGGACTTTTTTCCGCGTCGAATATCTGGAGCGGAGCAGAGGTGAAGCGAGGGGCGGCTCCCCTCAGGTCGGGGGACGGAATCTCTGGGGGGAGAATTCAGCAGCTCCAATATCGGCGCGCTGCGCTGGTCTTCGAGGTCATTGGAAGAACTCGGCTGGGGGGGATCGGGGGGTAATTACATTCTGGGTAACCAACATCGAGCCCGCTGACGTCAAAAGTCACCTACGTGGCTCGATGGTACCCGTCAGATCATGCGCACCCCTTGGTGGTACCCATCTTCCCTCCGTGGTACCCATCTTCCCTGCGTGGTACCCATCAACTGTGCGTGAATTCCCTGACTGGTACCGCAACATTTCAACCGAGCTGTACACCGTACAACAAGGGTTTCAATGCGATTTTCACTATATTATACCAACGTTTTCTGTCTGCAATTGAACATTAATACATTTGAACATTAATACCTTTGAACGTGCCTTACACTGGATAGAGTGCAACCTAGAAAAAATCAACTCCCCTTCTAAAATCCTCACGTTACCTCCGAACCTTTGTAAGCTCACATCACTGAGCGATAGGTAGCGTGAATCTTACGACCATGTTTCTCGGCGCGCAGTTGGTAATCTGAACAAAGTTCATAAGGTTGTATGCAAATAAATTGAGCATGTACCCCCACAGCTAAATAGAAAAGCATAAACAAATAATACGTACATTCGTTGGTTTCTGGAAACAAAACAATACCCATTAATGAAAATCAAATAACCTTAAGTCAATATATATATTACGTGTCAGTTGATCGTTTGTTACACGGATGTTAATTTTTGTGTTTCGGTTGATGCAATATATCTGTGGTGATTTAAATTATAGCACGTTATAATGTGGATGTTTATGAGCCTAAAGAAATCTACACAATAAATGTTTTCCTAAATTCAGCTTTTCTTCTACACTTTATTATAGGTAATGCGCTTGAAAAATTGACCCGATTATGTGGCACTTCGGGCTTCGGACTCTATTGAGCTTGTAAACGTTAAGACAATATAGTGAAAAACGCATTGACACCCTTGTTGTACGGTGTACAGCTCGGTTGAAATGTTGCGGTACCAGTCAGGGAATTCGCGCACAGTTGATGGGTACCACGCAGGGAAGATGGGTACCACGGAGGGAAGATGGGTACCACCAAGGGGCGCGCATGATCTGACGGGTACCATCGAGCCACGTAGGTGACTTTTGACGTCAGCGGGCTCAATGTTGGTTACCCAGAATGTAATTACCCGGGATCGGGAGCTGGGTGGGATGGAAAGGGCTGGTGAATGTGCGGGAAAGGCGGAAAGTGCTCGACGACGTCGCGCTCGCGACTCGCCAGATTTGGTTAGCAACGTCACAGAGGACGGGGGAGTACTTGACCGCGCAGGCATCAGATTGGGTATGGGAACTCCAAATGGTAAGGGAATGGGTGATTGGTCGAGGGGGGGTGGGCTGGGGAAGCAAGCACCCTATTTCCGCTGGTCTCATCTTATGCCCCCCCATCCCTTCCCCGACCCCCACCCTTCACAAGCAACTTGCCCAGCTGTCTCCCCCCATGTTCGAAAAAAGGCGGATTGGCGGAGCAGATTGGCAAGTGAAAGTGGGCCCATGCTCACATGGCGGAAAGAGAAAGTGCGCACAGTTGATCCCGGGTCATGGCGAAAAGCGGGAAACCGCGGGTGTCGCGGACGGCATTTGGGCGGAAAGCTGACCCTGCCGGCGTCAGAAAGCTTGCATGGTGAGTCATTGGCTGGAATTTCTGATGACGGGTCTCGTGCAGAGCATTTCTGTTCGTGTGAAATACGCATCTGACGGTGACGATGAGCTAAAAGCCAAAGACAAGAATATCTTCGAGATATCTCCTGAAGCTACGCGAGACTGCAAGTCAGTTGATTGGCTGATCTCAAGGACAGCTGTGTCCAATGGCGAACCATCAAAACGTCCTTCGAAAATTTTGAGGGTCAAGCAATACACTGTTCAAAAGAGTGAACTACTGTAGAGTAGCAGAGACATTTTTCCAACAGCTGCGCCTGCTTTGGAACATGCATGCATGCACAACAAACAAACAAACATTACTCTCGTCTGTTTGAAGTGTTCTAACGACTAGGTCCAGTTTTGGCAGATGCAACAAACCTACCCGATTGGGGGAGAGGTTGTTTGGGAACCAATCATTTCACCCGTGTGTACGCATCTGCAGTTCAAAGAATCTCGGTGATTAGTATCTTCGCTCCTATATGAGAAATCCGATGTCACATAAGAGTAATTCCATAAGCATCCTCCTTAACATGCCTCGAGTCTGCATACTGAACATGTGTGTTCTTGTTTCTGCTTGGAAGAACGAGGATGCACATGCATCCACAATTTATCAAGCAGCACTCAATGTACAGGCCCCCTGTTGCCCCCTCTTCTCCTACCTCCCCTATTTACCCCTCAACATAACCCTATCAACAACCCAAGTGCCAGTTACCAGCTCGAATCAATCGCTACAAACTTTACACGACTTGCGACAATTCCCAACATACCCGCCTTCTCCCACCATGTACCCAGGGTTCCTCTTACACTCGCCGCCCGCCGCCCACATGCCGCAGTTGGGGTGCTCATCAGTACAGTCCAAAAGGCTCCTGCGCGTCATGTACTTGAACATGTGCACCCACTTCTCCGCCGTCCACTTTGCTTCAAGCCTGCCGCCCGCACCGCCGCCCGCTCCAACACTGCCATCGCTCCCACTGCTGCCCCTCATTCCCCTAAAAAGCCCCCCAAAGCTCGTCCCGACAGTGGGTGTTGGGTGGGAGGGAGGGAGGAGAGGGCAATCCTCCCGGTATGCCCTGGGGTCGTTGTATCCGTTGGGAGAGAGGTGGAAGTAGAGCAGCGCATTGCCCTTGCGCGGCCTCACTGGGGGGAAGGGTGGGGGGGAGAGAGAGGATGGGGGAGAGAACAACGGGTACCGCAGGGAATAAGAGTGCTTCTTCACAGCCCAGCAATGGGGGCAAAGTCAAGGGAGGGCAACGGGGGCATGGGCAAGGGGAGCATGGGCATGGGGGCATGGGCATGGAGGGCATGGGCATGGGGGGCATGGGCATGAGGGGCATGGGCAAGTCTGCTAGAAAAGGACTTCACATTCCATTCCACCACAAAGCCCAGCACAGCTCACCCCCTCGCCCCCCTTCAACAGCAGTGAGGTCGAGTGCATTGCTGGTGAAGGGGATATTGCTGGGATATCCCAGGGGTGTGGGGGGGGGGGGGGGGGGGGGTGAGGAGGAGGAGTGCAGAGCGGTGCAATGCGTCTCACCAGCAATGCGGCCTTTAGCGCAGTCTGAGACGGGCCCAAAGTCCTGCTCGCGCTCAGGCAGGCAGAACAGGCGCGAACATTCCACCTCATCCGCGCCTCACCTCACCACTCCCCACCTCTCCTCACCCCTCCCCCCCTTCCCTCACCAGCAATGCGGCCTTTAGCGCAGTCTGAGACGGGCCCAAAGTCCTGATTGCGCTCAGGCTGGCAGAGGTGCGCAGGGGGAGAGGTGCGCAGAGGGAGAGGTGCGCAGGGGGAGAGGTGCACAGGGGGAGAGGTGCGCAGGGGGAGAGGTGCACAGGGGGAGAGGTGCGCAGGGGGAGAGGTGCACAGGGGGAGAGGTGCGCAGGGGGAGAGGTGCGCAGGGGGAGAGGTGCGCAGGGAGAGAGGTGCACAGGGGGAGAGGTGCACAGGGGGAGAGGTGCACAGGGGGGGAGGTGCACAGGGGGAGAGGGAGGTGCACAGGGGGAGAGGTGCACAGGGGGAGAGGTGCACAGGGGGAGAGGTGCACAGGGGGAGAGGGAGGTGCACAGGGGGAGAGGGAGGTGCACAGGGGGAGAGGTGCACAGGGGGAGAGGTGCACAGGGGGAGAGGTGCACAGGGGGAGAGGGAGGTGCACAGGGGGAGAGGTGCACAGGGGGAGAGGTGCACAGGGGGAGAGGTGGAGGCGTACACAGGGGGGGGGGAGAAGGAGTAGAGAGG